GGTGGAGGAGTCCACAGCTTCCGTGGGGGTCTGTGGGGGGGGGCTGGGCACCGTGGGCCGAGGGCCTGATCCTCGACCTAGCGGGGAGGAGGAGGAAGGGCCATTTATCAAATGGGACGGAGGCAGAAGACCTGATTTCAGTTACAGGCGGGGGGGAGAGTTAGAAAAGCCCCTTCCCCAGAGCAAGAGCAGCTCAAGAGCAGAGCCATGGACCAAGGGGGGCTCCCCTTCCCTGAGTGGGTTTGCTCTGCTGGGCAGGGGTGGACTGGAGGACCTCGAGGGATCCTTCTGGGCCTCGTGCCGATGCAAAACTTCTCATAGAAGCTCATGGAAGGTCTCCAGGACCCGAGTCCAGCGTGGGGTGTGAACAGCCCTGAGCCACCCTGATGCTGCCAATTCCTTCTGGTGAGTCCCGGGCCAGGGACTGGGCAGTGCCAGACGCCTGCCTATTTCCCAGGCCTCAGGTGGGGCAGACAGACCGCCTTTCTGCTCTCAGGAGACCCCCCCAGCGGCCCTCCCAAGGCCTCCTGCTCACCATAGAGAAACTGGATTCCGGCCACATCGTCGGAGTGCAGGTGGAAGTCAGCCAGGTAACTGTACATGGGGTACATGAGGGCTTCTCGGATGCTGGAGTGCTCCAGGCCCAGAGAGTGGCCGAATTCATGCGCAGCAACCAGGAAGAGGCTGTAGCCTGGGGGTACAAAGCAGCAGCTGCTGGACTGGGCCCCTCTTCGCTCCCCAGCAGGTCTCCTGCAGCAGCGCGCCCCACCTCAGCCATCAGCCTTTGGCTCTCCAAGCCTGCAGCTGCAGAGCCTCTCCCCGGAGCCCTCGATGCCTGTGGCCCCCGGGTCGCCGCTTCCCGTCACTGCCCTTCCCTTCCTGAGGAGGGCACCCGTTCCCCTGGGCTGCTGGAGGGGTCTCCTTTCTCCCGACGCCCTGCAGCCCCACCCCCTTGGGGTGGGGGTGGGGGTGTATGCACGTGTGCGTGCAGCCGAGGACTCCACTGGTTTCCCAAGCAGGCAGGGGGACGGGCCTCCCACCAGTACCTTGGTCAGAGCAGAAGCCCCACTTCTTGTCTGCATCGTAGTCGCCGGTGGTGGCACACCAGAGCTTCCCATCGGCCCGTCCCTCGGAGGTGCAGCCACTGTACATCTGGCCCTGGAATCTGAATGGGAAGGAGCAGGGCTCGCCCTGGGCATTCCCTCCAATCACGGCCGTGTCTGTGGGAGAAGGCAGAGGTCAGCCCTGAGCCCCCAGCCCCAGGGGTCGGGTCCTCCCACCTGCCCAGTGACCCTGGGCCAGGTTGGTCTCTCCTCCCGCCTTGCCCTCTTGCGCGCCTGGCGAGAGAGCGTGATGGGGAGGCGGGAGACGAGGCCCAGCTGTCGCTGCTGGCAGAGCAAAAACACCCCCAGAGCCAGGGCCAGCCCCAAAGCTGAGCATGAGACTGCCGGGATTTGTCTGTGAGCCTGGCAGCTGCAGCGCCCCTTGGTAGTGCCGAGACCGAGGGTGTCTCTGAGCACCTGCGGGGCGCTTTTCCCACACCGCAGTCCCTCCTGAACACCACGTGTCCCCAGTCCTGGTGTACCTCTATTGGGGCAGAAGCCGTATTTCTTGTCCTGGTCAAAGTTGTCAGTGGTCGCGCACCAGCGGTAGCCATCCGTGCGCCCATCGGTGGTGCAGCCCTTGTAGGATTTGCCGCTGAAGACAAAGGGGAAGACGCACTTCTCGCCATGGCTGTTCCCATCGAAGGTGAAGAGGTCTAGCAAAGCACGAAGGAGAATGAGCTGCAAGCGAGTAATTCGAGGCAACTGAGCTTCCCATGTTGGGCTTTGTGGGGGACGCGGGGAGCTCAGTTCCCCCTTCCAGAAAAGGAGCAGGTGGACTCAGAAGCAAACTGCTTTGTGGGGGGGACGCTTTGAGAAGGCCCCCTGCCCACCCACAGTTAGAGTCTCACCTTGCTTCCATCCCCTCCAGCTTTTCGCTCCACCCCATAGGAGGGGCTGTGCCCGCTCATCTTGCCAAATCCAGAGGGCCCCCTCCTGCTGCCCCTCACCTCCCCACATCCTCAGCTGATGGGGCCAGAGGAGAAGGTCGTCAGGCCGGTTCTGGGACAGCTGCCTGTGCGGCAGTCAGGGCTTCAGACTGTGGGGTCCTCTCTGCCCCCTTCCCTTTCTGAGCCCCCCTCCGCAGCCACTCACATTCACTGGGGCAGAAGCCATACAGCTTGTCCTGGTCAAAGTTGGGGGTGGTGGCGCACCAAGGCAGCCCGTCCTCTCGCCCGTCAGGAGTGCAGGAGGAGTAGGTCTTCCCCCCAAAGGTAAAGGGGAAGTGGCAGGAAGACCCATTGGCGTTCCCATAGTAAGTCTTCACCACTGCTCAGGAGACAGGAGAGACCAGACATCAGACCGGCCCAGGCGGGCACAGCTCCCAGGGGCCTGGGGAAGCCCCAAGCCAGCAAGCGGAGCCAACTCACCGGCACCCGTGCCCAGCGTCCAGAACTCATCATCATCAAAATGGGCGTCCCCGCTGTACCGGTCTTTGCCAGGAGGGAAGGCATGGGCGAGAAGGCCATCCTTGCCATCGAAAGGGTATCCGTCGCCATGCTCTGGGGGGAAGGGCAGGCCAGCAAAACCGGGGTCACAATTGGAGCAGGAACCCTTCCCGCCCTCCAGACAGCGCCCCCTGCTCCCGCCCCTTCCATCAGCAGCCACGACTCACCTCCTGTGCCAAACTGGATGAGAATATCCACCTCCCCGCTCTCCTGGCGCGTGAAGGTGAGGGGCGTCACTTCGCTCCACACCTTGAAGGCTCTGGCAAAGGCGTCTTCGATGATGGAGCCGTCCATGTCAGGAGAGTAGTTTACCACCCTGCCAAAGAGCGAAGGCTCAGATGTGTTCGGCAGCTCCTGAGCCCCTCCATCCCTCCTTGCTGCTACAGCGCCCCAGGCGCCCTGCTTCCGTTCAGCTTCGCGCAACCTTGGCAAGGCGCTGTCCTCAGCCCCCCTCCCACCCCCACCCCCCTGCAACTACAGCAGAGGACGAGGGAAGCATCCGGCAATGTGCGTCTGCCTCTGGAGGGTGGGCCGCCTTCCCCAATCAGGTCCCCTGCAGGGGTCTTGGCATTAATTTCTCAGGCCGTCCACCCCCCTTTAGTCTACCATGGGGGTTGTGAACAAGGCGATGGACGTGTTCGCTCACTCACTCACCGGTATGTGAGGTTGGTGTGGTCCCACTTGAGGTCTCCCTGGAACGTCTGGAAATGCCCGACATCTGGGACTCCGCAGCGGGGAGCCCGCATGGCTGCGAGGGTGGTGGCATCCAGGTGCCCCGTCTCTGGCAAGCCCAGTCGCTTCTGCATTGCCTTGAGGGGGGTCTCCAGCTTCACCTGCCCCACGGGGTTGGTCTCCTTCAAGTACCCATAACGCTGGAGGTAGAGCTGGCAGAAAAAGAAGGAGAAGAGCACGCTAGCCGAGGGCTCTCTGGCCAAGGAAGGCCGGCCGGCTGGGGACCTGCAGAACCAGCGGGGTTCCCGCACTGCACCAGCTGCTGGGGACAGAAGGGACCTCCTTCTGTCAGCCTGAGGTCCGCAGAGCAGCCATCCCGTGACCGGTTCCCCGGGGGTCTACAATAACTCATGCGGACCAAATGAAGGGACGGGTGGGGTGGAGGTCACAGGTGGGCTGGGTGAGCCGAAGCGCACGGGGCCGGCGGGAAAGGGAGGCAAGCGGGGGG